GCGAGCCGCTCACCTGCCTCCGCTCGCGGCCGCGGCCGCCGGTCCCTTGCGCGGCTCCCGCCCGCTCCCAGCCCCGCCGCGATGCCGGGAAGGCGGCCCCAGCCCGAGCTCTATCAAAGGCCTTTATGTGCAGGGAGCTTGGTAGTGACGATGTGTTTTCTTTTGCCTCAGCAGCTCTGATGGCCCAGAGGACACCTGCCAAAACACACTCATTAACACTCCCGCCCTCAGGGGCTGATCCAGAGCTCATGAAAGTCTATGGAAAGCCTCCTGTTGACTTGACTGGCCTTTTGGATCAGGTCCTTGCTGCTCTTTCCCCCCGCCCCAGGCTCAAGCACACAGGCCTGGCTTTCTCTGGCCATCAGTAGCTCCCCTGTCCTGCCGGTGCTGTTCCTTCGCCCCCAGAAGTATTTGCATCCCCGATCCCTCTTTCCTCTGGCTCATCCCAAAGCATTGACAGGCTGCAAAGCAAACGGGGGGAGCTCATTTCACCCCTCTCTACGGCCACCTGCTCTGTGAAATCAGCTCCTGGGCCAACGTACCGAAAAACAAATGGTACACTAGACCTTGGATAGGAGCTAGCGAGGTTTCTTGCACCTCTGTCCTGGTTCTCCAGGGCAATTCTCTTCCCTCTGCCCATCAGCTTTGAGGCGAGTGGTGGCCATGGACAACCATTGGCCTGGCTGGGGAATTTGGAATGAAAACTGTGGCGATAGCTCTTGCTCCTAAAGCCGCCTGAAAGATTTCTCAGGTTTGGGAAGTTGGCCCAGGGCAGCCACAGAGGTGAAATCTTTCAGATGGCTTTGGGAGCAAGAGATATCGTCACAGTTTTCATTCCTAATTCCCCAATCAGGCCAACGCCCTGGTGGAAAGGGAGAGGTGAAATTAAGAGCTTGGACTTCTCAGGTGCAGCTTCTGGAACCTGACTACACAAATTGCCAGTGCAGTACATTACACAACACTTGAGCTTCTCATTTGGAGACCTTACCCCTAGGCCCAGGTCCTGCCCTCCTCCCACAGACAAAGCTCCCATTGAAACCACTCCCACCCTGGGGAGGTGGGAGGAGAGGCTACTGCTTGGGTTGATTCACTCTAATCCCTCTAATCCTGCTACCTACAATTTTCCAGAGTAGCCTGAAAAATGAAGAGCTATGCTAAGCCATCCCCAGGCCTGTTATTCTGTAATATTGCAAAAAGCTCACGGTACTTCTGGTGTCTGTGTTTTCCTTTGGGAGGGTTTCTATATATTAGACATCAAGAGCACAGGATGCAGTAAAGCCATGCATGGAGAGCTTATAAAAGGTATGGCATTCATAGCCCTGGGCAAGGTCTTCTATGTATAGGGTAGGCTCAGCAGAAACAATGATAGTTTGCTTTTTGCCTAGTGGCCGTGAGTCTAGAGCCCGCTCTCCAGGTGAGAGAGTGCTTACATGTATCCTTGCCTCCTTGACCCAAGTGTGCTAGCATGGGTGCAAATGCCAACAAAAGCAGTGCTGTCCTCAAGGTGGCTACCAGGCCACTAGGATGGGTCTGAGATCAGATCACCAAGCTTTTTTTCCTGTTAGTTGCCAAAGAGCCATCAGATGTGAATGACTTCAACCAAGTGACCCATTTCTGGTTCTTGGAGCCACCCAGTGTTGCCTGGTGGCACTATAGGTTTGAAAAGGGCTTCACCCTTCTATCTGTGATAATGCGCTAAGGCAGTGGTTTTCAACCTTTTTTCATTTGCAGACCCCTAAACAATTTCAAATGGAGGTGCAGATCCCTCTGGAAATTTAAAATGGAGGTGCAGACCCCTTTGAATTGTAAGTGTGGGTATTTATTCACATACTTCTAATTGATCACAGCCATCTTTCGTGGACGCCTTAGACACCCCAAGGGGTCTGCAGACCACAGATTGAAAACCACTGCCCTAAAGAGAAAGACTGCTGGATGGCTGAGTGTGAGCTGTGTGCCCTCTAGCAACTACCAGTTCATTTTCCAAGTCTTTCCTACAGCAAAGAAATTGCATGCACAGATGTGGATGTGGCACTGTCATAACTAGGGCACTCTTTTATAACATTCAAATAGATATTTTGACTAACTGAAGAAATGTTTCATCATTCCCCTTTGGATGGGTCAGGGATAATAATATCTTAGAAGTTCTTTTCCACTATTGGCTTAATTTTCTTTCTCTCTTTTTTTTTTAACTCTGATATGTACATTCCATGGGTTTGCAGAACAGACTTGAGAACTTAATGGGAACATGGAGATTATGAGCAATTTTTCCACTGGCTTTTCCTGCCAAACCACTTTGAGACTGAAATTGGGGGTGATCTCTCTGGCTCAAGCTGACCCCAAAATTGAATGCTTGTGTTTGTTTTCTTAAAGAACACAACAGATACAAGATTCCCCTTCCCCTTTTTCTTTTATAAGCCCCTTTCTCCCTCCCCACAAAAGAGTCATTTGTAGTCTGAACCCAACGGGCTCACTTTTAAGAGCTTAGAAAAACTCTGCTTGAAAGTTTAGGGCTCCTATTGAATTTTTAGTGTCTGACACATATCCCATTAGAAATATCTGTTTTGTTTTGTTTTGTTTTGTTTTGTTTTGTTTTTTAATCATTGAAGTCTTTCTGTTTCTAAGCATTATATGTAGGTGCAGTGCTTTTTATGTGGTCCTTTTCAATTTTGTTTGGGCATATTGCAGGCCTTGTATTGTTTTCCATGTAACTGAGTATAAACTAAGGTTAACTTAGCCTGCCTACCATAATCTTGCCATATTCAACACACTTCCAAGAAATTGTCTAAAATTTGCTGCAGTTGCATTTTTCAGGTTAATGATATATAGGCAGAAATTGAACATGATGCTGTAGTGAATGATTGGTTTAGAGTAGACCACTACCAGAATTTAAATTTGGTAAGTTCTTTGAACATCACTGTAACGGCAATTTATACAACATTAGAAAACATCTTTTTTCCCTTTCTTTTTGGAGTCCTACCCACCCGGTGCATAGGTATTATAATACTTGCACACTTTTAAAATTTGTAAAGCAAAACAAATCCTGCCAAAGTCAAATGCTGATCCAAGTACATGGAAAATGCCTCCTTCCATTCTCCAGTTCCCTGAAATGGTAATATGCACACAGTGTATTCCTAGTCATGCATTATGTTGAATTAGCTGCAAGGGGAGGTAGCTGCAATTTCTATTAAGGTTGACAAGGCGAGATTTTTGCTTCAGCTCTTTAAACACATTTTTAGCTTATGAAAATGGCATTATTAAAAAATATGAGGTCACTGTAAGTCATGGGACCTCAACCTGAATATTGTGAACCTGTGTAGAGTGGTGACAACCATGGCCTTCCCATACTGGTCAGTGAGAATGAGTCCCAACTAAATTAGTGAAGGCTCCCTGTATAGAAAAGGTAACTATTACGATGTTCTACAATGAGTAGAACCTAATAGTTGGGCCAGAGCTAGTTCTGTATTGTGTGGATTGGGCCATTTCTAAGGAAAAAAGTAAAACACACTGGTGATGTCAGAATTGTTTCAGTGGCGCTTAGAGCTCTGTGAAGGTGAAACACCTGGTTCTAAGAGGTATCGTGATTCTGTGGGATCTATATTCACCATATTTCTGTATTATAGGTAATATTTATGTATTATAGGTGTGAGCACTAAGAATAATCCCCATTTTATTCCTGTTGAGTGTAGCTGGTAAGTTAACAACATGGCTTAAAACAGGGTAAAAGTTCTGGTGTCCCTGATCTGAGCTAATCCCTATATTTCTCTATCAATGTTAGTACACACCCCTCCCTGCTCACTCCCCTCAATGTATGGTAACGATTTACGAGTCTGAAATATTGGTGGAACAAGTCTAAAATGATATGGCTTTCTTGGAGCACAAATAGCTCTCATAGAAGTTAAGCCTAAGCTGTCACTTATCTCTTAACGTGTTCACAAACGTGTTAGAAAGTAAAGGGTTAAGATAAAGCAGCAAGGTTAGAACATTGTCTTTCCTGCTTTCCTGCCAACCCCTCCAGATCTTCATTGCAACGCTCACCATTTCAGTGGAGAGGAGATTATGCAATCTTTATGCTGGTGCAGACTATTCCCTTTCTCTTTTGACTCATACTGATGATGCTGTAATATTCTATGCCTTGTTAGCCCATGTAGTGCTAATTCAAGAGCATCGCACACATTTCAGTTTGATTGTTTTGTTAACGACATTTCAATAAGGGGCACAAGGCTAGAAGGGCATCACAACATCAAACAAACCTCCAGACTGCATTTTTCCATTTTAATTTTTTTTCCGTCATTCAAATTTTTCAGGATGACACAGGTCTGGTTTGACTTTCAGAGGAGGGCAAAGGAAGAAGGCAGGGAGGCAAAAAGAAAATGCCTTTATGTGAAATGTTTATTCTTTACCAAAAATATTTGATCTTTGTTAAAATTGCAATGTTGAGAACTTGTTGGACAACAGCAGGCAATGCTCTCTGTTTGGGTGAGCCAGTTTGTATATGGTTATTTAGATGGTCCTGCGTTAGCTTGTAATTGTGTACACATGTAGTTGGCAAGCCGTTTTCAATGATAGTATAAACTGTAATGCCCAAAGTTAAAAGGGATCATGACAAAATATTTAACAAAACCAGAAGCGATTTTCTGGAGCGTCTCATGAAGGGAATGCTGAAAAAGAAGCCAACAATGCAAAACAAAGGCAAGCACTTTTAAGATTTTTTTTAAATCAAGGCCTTTTTCAAATAA